GAACTCGTGGCCTTGGTGTTATCAGCACCACACTCTCCCGAGTGAGCCACAGGCTGGCCCAATGGCAGGATTCTTAACCTCAAGTTGCTTACAGTCTTATGGGGAAGAAAAGAGATGTACAGAACAATACCTAATGTTTATTGAGTGCTTACTATGTGTCAGGTACTTTGCTGGGACTTTACATGACTTATCAATGGCAAGTACTCACCAGAATTCAGTGAAGTAGATTCTGTCATTATCCTGGTTTATAAAGATGAAAAAATTGAGGCTTAGATTGAGACATTTGCTCAAGAAAGCAGGGGTTCAATCTCAGTTCTCACTGCTGCAAAGGACAGTGCTTTTAACCACTAAAAGGCAAAATATGATATGAACAGATAATTGGTCTCAAGGAAAATGTGATTTTGGAGGTTAGAAAGATTACCCAAGATTTAACTGAAAAGGTTGAAAAGGACTTGAGATTTGAAGGATGTGCTGGATTTGGATAGATTGGGCAGTATAAAGAGGAGGTGGTTAACCTAAGTTTCTAAACCCTGTATGAGAATCTTTTCTGTAGGTAGCTACAATCTGCTGAACAAAATCAACTGAGGACTTAAAATAAAAAACATGTTACAACTAAAGTCATTTTTTGAGACATGAAAATGATCACCTGCTCTTTACAAAAATTGGGGTTTTTTTTTTTGTTTGTTTGTTTTTACTTAATGTGACAAATGCCCTCACCCATCCAAGGCCAAAGGATGGACACGGAGACACGAGGTACAGTGAAGCAAGACTTTAATTATGGCCTTGCAAGGTTTGGGTGTCTGAAGGGCAGGCAGACGGAAAAGGGCTGTAGCAAGTAATTTATTCCCTAGTGCACAAGTCCCTGCCCACGCCTCCTCGCTGGTTGAGAGTACTATGGGGTGCACAGTCTTCCTGTAGGACGGCTAAGATTACTCCAAGTTATTTACCCCCTCGTAAGAAATTTCTTTGTCTGAGGGCTCAGGACAAGCCCACGAAAAACGCCTACTGAAACCCTGTGAAAGGACAAACATTAGGGAATGAAGAGAACAATAAAGGGCTAGTAACTCATTACCATCTCAAGGACAACTTTATCCCTTTGAAGTAAACAATTAAGAGCTGTAACTCATTACTGTCTCAAGGAAAATTTTATCTATTCAGCGACCCCCCAGAATGGGCTGGACCAGTCAGACAGCTTTCGGGCTGGACTTGAATTATTTCTGAAAATGAATCACTTAAATTATTTTCTCACACTTAAGAATGTTTTTTGAATAGGTAATACAGTCACATTTTTTTTTTGTTTGTTTGTTTTTACTTAATGTGACAAATGCCCTCACCCATCCAAGGCCAAAGGATGGACACGGAGACACGAGGTACAGTGAAGCAAGACTTTAATTATGGCCTTGCAAGGTTTGGGTGTCTGAAGGGCAGGCAGACGGAAAAGGGCTGTAGCAAGTAATTTATTCCCTAGTGCACAAGTCCCTGCCCACGCCTCCTCGCTGGTTGAGAGTACTATGGGGTGCACAGTCTTCCTGTAGGACGGCTAAGATTACTCCAAGTTATTTACCCCCTCGTAAGAAATTTCTTTGAGGGCTCAGGACAAGCCCACGAAAAACGCCTACTGAAACCCTGTGAAAGGACAAACATTAGGGAATGAAGAGAACAATAAAGGGCTAGTAACTCATTACCATCTCAAGGACAACTTTATCCCTTTGAAGTAAACAATTAAGAGCTGTAACTCATTACTGTCTCAAGGAAAATTTTATCTATTCAGCGACCCCCCAGAATGGGCTGGACCAGTCAGACAGCTTTCGGGCTGGACTTGAATTATTTCTGAAAATGAATCACTTAAATTATTTTCTCACACTTAAGAATGTTTTTTGAATAGGTAATACAGTCACACATATGGTACATTATTTAAATGTATGGAATATACAATGAAACATATCCCTAATATTCATAACCATCTTGCTCCATCTCAGGGGCCTCAAACTTTCTTGAGTGTCCTTTCAGAGATATTCTATGCATGTACAAGCAATTGCATCTCTTTTTTTTTTTCTTGTAAATAGTAGCATATTATACATTGTTCTGTAACTTGCTTTTTTTCACTTACTGCATCTTATGATCATTTCCTTTGCACTCATAAAGAGCTACTTTATTCTTGTTAAAGATTGTATACTATTCCACTATATCGAGTAGTAACCATTATATGCAACAGTATTATTTCAGTCTGCCTGGGCTGCCAAAACAAAAATACCATAGGCTGGGTGGATTAAACAACAGAACACATTTTCTCATAGTTCTGAAGGCCGGATGTCTGAGATCGGGGTGCCAGCATGGTTTGGTTCTGGTGAGGGCTCTCTTCCTGGCATGCAGACAGCTGCCTTTTTATTGTGTGCTCACACAGTCTTTTGTTGGGGTGCTTGCCTGTATGTGGAGAGAAAGAGAACAAGCTCTCTGGCATCTCTTATAAGGGCTGTAATCCCATCATGAGTCCCACCCTTATAACCTTATCTAATCCTAATTTAGGTCCCAAAGGACGCATCTCTAAATACCATCACATGGGTGTTAGGGCTTCAACATATGAATTTGGAGGGAGGAGGAACACAATTCAGCCCATAGAAGTGTTGTCTCTAATTTTTGCTGTTAAAAACACTTCTGTTGAGAATTTCATACACACATCCCTTTTCACATGTGCAAATATGTCTGTAGTATGAATTTCTAGAAGTGGAATCACTGGGGCAAAGAATGTTATATGTTTTTAAAATTATAACTTTGTTCAGTAAATATGAACTCTCCATTCTATTCAGTAGTTAGAACTTGGGTCACATTGGGAATTTGAAACACATTTTCTACCCTGCAGTTATTCCTGAGAGAGGATCTAGCAACTTGTTTGTGTCAACCTCAGTATTTTGTGTTAATTAAGCTTGTTAAATCAGCAATTTAAAGTGATCTTACTTCCTTGGCAACCTTTTTGTTCTTTTCTAGTTTGTGAATTAGTATGCAAAAAAGTATGGGTTTTATTGTATTACAGCACAGAATGGTAACTTTTCCCCCCAAATATCCAGGGAAAAGGCTAATTTATGGGTGGTAGGGTAGTATGTATATATTTATGAAAATGATCAAACTGTGCAATGAGTCATTGAATTAGGAATAAGCCTTTTATACCATTAAAATACATTCTTGAATGACATGGGATTGGTTGGAAACCTGTATATTGGTTTAATTTAGAAAGAGAAGTAGAAGAGATCTAGGAAGAGTTTAGGAGAGAGAGAGAGGGAATATTTCATAAGGAAGAGGAAAGTCAATATTTGTCTTTATGTCTGTAACTCTTACACCCCAAGTCATGTCTTTTTCCCTAATGGTGTTATGGTAAAACATTTGTCCTATTGATGTAGTGCATAGCAGGCATGGAATCCTCTCTCCAGGATCTTTGTACTCTTCCTCTGATTTCTAGAGGTCTGGACCTTATAACCACACTCACTAACACCATTTCCCTTTCTTGTTAATTTGTTCTCAAAGATACTTGTTAAAAACTTTGTTCCCTGTTACCTGTTCCTCTGACATTAAGACTTCCAGCCCAGAGCAGAATATTAAAAATCCCCTTTCACAAAATGTGGAAATCTGCGTCTTCCTAGAATGGCTATCAAATAGGCACACAGTTGTTTTGAGTTTTAATGTCAGGGTGTTACCAGACTCAGGTCCGGCTGCCCACCCCCTTGAAAAGGGAAGAAAAAAACAACGGTTGGTGTTAGAAAAGCAGATGTATTCAGCTGAAGGAGATGGTAGGCTATCCCATCTC